GCACGGCCGGACGTGGCGAAAGACAGGAAAGAAAAAAAAAAAAAAAAACCTGCGGCATGGCCGGAGCCTGGGTGCAGGGGGACTCCCTGCACTGCAGACGTGCCCTGGCTAGCAGGGGGGAGGAGGAGGGGGAGAGAGAGAAGGGGGGCGGCCAGGGCTTCAGCGGGGCACTCGCCCCGCCTGCCGCGATGGCTCCGTGCCGCTCCGGTCAGCGGAGAGGGAAGGATGTGGGCTGCCCTGCCGGGCTTGCTACAGACCTGGCACCGGCTGGGGCAGACGGAGCACGCAGCCCGCTCCCAGCAGGGCGCTCCCCTCCTACGCCCCCTACAGGGCAGCCGGATCGGCGAACAAAACAAAGCAAAACAAACACGGCCGTGCTGCCCTAGGATTGGGCAGAATGCCGCCCCGTAGAATCTGCCGCCCCAAGCACGAGCTTGCTCGGCTGGTGCCTGGAGCCTGCCCTGATTGGCACCTTAGTTTGGGACAGTTCCTGAAATTTGTCACCTAAAAAGAATGGCTCAGATGTAGAGATCTCACCCACATCCTCTGCAGAGGAAACCATTGTAAAGAATTCATTTTGCTTCTCTGCAATGGCATTGCCTTCCTAGTGTGCTCTCTTAGCACCTCAATCGTCCAGTGGCCCCAGTGACTGTTTGGCAGGCTTCCTGCTTCTAATGTAAATGATTTTTTTGTTGATAGTTTTTGTGTCTTTAGCGAGTTACTCTTCAGATTCTTTTTTGTACATCTATCTAGCGGTCTCGTGAGATCCACAACCTTTGGGCCCAGTAAGCAATTAACCATGCGGGTTTCCCGGTCATCACAAAACCAAACTGTCTAATAATCAAATCCTACTAATAATCCAAATTACTACTACCTATAACTATTCATCTTATAACACAGGAAATTAAAAGATCTTGGAGCTCTTAGTCTAGAAGGAGGCGATAGCAGTGTCAACTGTCAGAGTCCACTTGATGTTACGGACCCAGTATTAGTCCTAGAACATGAAGCAATAGAATGTAACCACTCAGCTCCTGAGCCCACTATCTAGTGTGTTGGAGCATACATTCTCCTCCCTCCATTGTCTTTTGTGATGTCACAGAACTATTGTAACTTCTGTGATCCAAAGCAGCAAGGCCAAGGATGTGAGAGCCCAATTCCCACCAGCTGGGCACTTTGTTCAGCCAGTTTAGAAAGGAGAGAGGAGAGTTCAGCCTACCTTGCAAGAGTGTTTACTTACCTTGTCCCATGAAATAAAGGGCCATCTCACTTCAAGAAGGATGTCTGGGGAGCGAGCTTTCCTGAAACTGCCCCCACTAGGAAAATGTCAGAAAGTTACCTCCTATAACAAGGAGGAGGATATCTACAAAATGTTTACAAAACTATCCAGACTTCACTGCAAACTGCAGGATCCGCTGAAGGAGCTGCTTTATCAGTGCGCTAGTGAGGAGGAAGGAGAATGTATGTATACACATTTGTATATAATCTATAGTTATGGGGCAGGCAGGTGCCAAAACTTTGCCTTGCTTCTGAGGGAGAGATGTCAGTTGCCAATAGCACAGGAATAACAGCACCTAAAATTTATGAAATGGAGTGGAGTTTGCAGGTGCCCTCCTCTTTACCGATGAAGCACAGCCTTTGGTAATGACTAGTCCTATCATGTGATACCACTTGGTGTAACACCATATGCTGGGAACTGTCATCTCCACAGGCCACCCTCCATGTTAAAGATGAAGGTGGCTGTAGCTGCATTTGGCTTGTGAGTTACATGTTGGCTGTTTGCAAAGTGCTGCTTAATGTTAGTCAACCCGACATGGTTACAAGTCAAAATGGACCAGATTTGTGACTTGGATGACTGGAAAGGGTGGTTCTTCTGCTTCAGCATCCATACATCGTGTACTAGAATATTTTATGTTTTTAGAGATGAAGGATTAATTCATTGTTAAGGGTTCACTTGGCAGCCATTTCTGCCTTTGTTTGATAGTAGATACTTTATTTGATACTAGATCATTGTTTGTACATAATGCCATTAAGAAATGTATGAAGGGCTTATCTGTGCATCCTCCTTTGAGACATACTTTCCTTCCTTGGGATCTCAATTTGGTTGTAGCCAGGCTGATGAAACCACCCTTTGAACCTTTTGCTGAGTGTTCTTTACATTGTTTATCTATTAAAATGGCTTTTATTGTTGTTATAACATCTGCCAGAAGGGTGAGTGAGCTAAATGCTTTTATGGCTGATCCATCATTCACTATTTGCCACAAAGATAATGTGGTTCTTTAGCCTGATCCCAGGTTTTTGCCAAAGGTAGTTTCAGATTTTCATGTCAATCTGTTCATTAATTCGCTGTTTTTTCACCCAAGCCACATTCTAATAAGGTTGAATTGACTTTACATACTTCAGATGTAAGGCTGGTTCTTGCTTCTTATTTAGACAGAACTAAAAGTTTTCATAAATCATCCAGATTTTTAGAATAACAAAAACAATTACATGGGATACAGTTTTTCTCCAGACCATTTCTAGATGAATTATTGTTGAATGGTATGCGTTGGCAAAGACTCCTATACCTGGGACAATACATCCATATTCCACTAGAGCTGTGGCAACCATTTTTGTTTGTATTAAACAAGTCTCTGCTCTGGGGATTTGCAGAGCTGCTACCTGGAGTTCTGGTCACAACTTTCACTATGCATTATGCTTTGGACTTGGCTGCTAATGCAGATGTTGAATTTGTTAGAGCGGTGCTGCAGTCTCTATTCATTTACAACTCTGTACCTAGCTTCATGTTATTTTCAGCACTGCTTATCAGTCTATCCTGTAAGTGGGAATATGCAGAGCCATTCAAAGAAGAAATGAAGGTTACTCACTTGTAACTGGAGTTCTTTGAGATGGCGCTGCATATTCACACTTCCCACCCACCTCCCCCTCTTTGTCAGTGTCATAGTCACTTTTTGTTCTCTACCATTGCAGTGGAAGGAATTGAGGTGATAGCGGGTGCTGCACCCCTTATATAGCCTTGCTCTCAGGACCTTCCGAGATGCTGAGGGGAAAGGCTGGGGGTGCAAAAGCATGCTAACAGACACTGCTGGGAGAAGGTTCTACCATAAGGCACCACAAGGCAGTGCAGTACCCGTAAGCGTGAATATGCTGAGCCATTTCTAAGAACTCCAAGCACCAGTAAGAATCCTTAATTTATTTCTTAAAGGCTTACGATGTTGTAAGCTTCTTTTTGTTATGTTCTTTTGCAATTGGCTAGGATCTGAATGTAAGCATTTAATGTAACAATTTCCTGATATCCTTGTGACATGAATAGTGAGAGGATTTATTTACCAATATGTAATCAAATGAACTTGCCTATAACTGGTTACTACTATAAGAAGCCATTTGAGTATTAGCATGTTTATATTAATTGAGGAATTAGCAATCTAGCAATGCTTAAGCAACCTCCTTACTAAACTCAGGAAGACAAGAACCACCTCTCAAAGGATTGTTAAGAAGAAAAGACAGTACCTTCGATGACGATTTAAGTTAAATGATTCTTAGAATCATTTAAGTTTAAAAGCACTTAAAGCTGAAAGATTTTTTTAGAAAATAGGAGCATTTGGACCCATTTGAAACAGACGTTAAATTGTTAATAAGTCTGGATGGAACCAAGGGGATAACTCAGTAAATGAATTGAATAAAAAGTTAAAACTCCAACTTGAAAAAATGAGAATTTCTTGCCACAAAGACAAAAGCAGTATAACTATAATGTTTAATTACAATCCTGCTACATATGCATTAGCAGGTTGCATATTAAGCGAGCTGAGGGTGCTACCAAAACCATCCCATGAAGGTGCTGAGCCTACGAAAGGTGACAGAGGTTGATATCTGAATCCAGCCAAGCCCCTGAAAGAGGTGCGTCTTCCACCTTCAGAAGAAAGAAAAGACATTCTCACGTTCTTCAACACTGAGCTCAGCCTGTTTATTTAATATCCTCACAACTTACAAGCAAACAAATAGCAATGACAAGACAGTTGTAACCAACAAAGCAGCCAAAATCTTTTGGTCTTCCTTCTGCAATAGGACATGGACATATTTAACTTTCACACATCTTCCACCTACATGTGGACTTTCACATGATGGTGTAATGGGAAACTATTTATTCTGAAATATTCTCCAAGACGTCAGGACCAATTCAAAAGATTTTTTTTTTGCAGTGAATGGGCATTTCTTTTAACTGCCTGACTATTTTGGAAACTTGAGAATCTCTATTTTGAGATGAATAGTGTAATATAGAGTTGTCTAGACACTTAAACCTAATATAAGATGAACAAAGATTTCTAATTTTCTTGCAACTCATAATGTAAAAAAATATGAAGAGATAGAGACAGAGTAACATTGTCACCGAAATCTTGGTCAGAAAGAAATCCCAAATAGATATGTATCAAATACTTCCTAAACAGTAGAAAAAGAAAGAAGTATCCCAACAAGCTAAAAGGAATGTGGCTGAAACTCACTCCTCTGCCAAAAGCCTGCCCAAAGCTTAGGCACTACTTGAGCCGTAGTTTGAGTGGGATTTAAGTGGTGCATTGCTCTTCTGTTTCATGGGGGTGAATTTCACCCTATATGAATTGGCAAATCAGAAATCTCTGTAGATCGTCCTCCAAACCAAGACTACGGAACAACAAACAACTAGTTTTAAGGTTGGGGGGCAGAGACTTCCTTACAGAATAGAAGCAATTCTTTGGACATTAAGAGATGACTATATTCCCCTTTAATGATAATGTTCAAATGACTAGTGTAGCCACATCTTAGCATATCTGATTGGCTTGGAGATTGAATCTAAGAAAAGGAAATCCCAGGTTCATTTTTTCTCAGCAGCTGTAGCCTAAAAAGGTGTGTCTACATTTTAATGTAATTCTTAATCAATGCCAGTGATTGTTTTAATGCTACTTTGCAAAAGATTAAAAGGGAATGCCGGAAGGGACTAATGTAAGAATGGGAGGATTATATTTTAATAAAATTAATCCTGCCTATAAAAGGAGACCTGTGAGAGTGTCCATCTGGACAAATCCAATTGTACTTTTCTAAGCAGCAACATTAAACTTGACACTCCAATCCACAAAACACTTGTGAGATTGTGTGAAAGGAAAGGACCTGTGAATCAAGGACTTTGGAGGGCGCAACTAACAAAATACCTCTGACTTGCTAAAAGAGATTTTAAATCCTGAGAGACTACTGCCAGAAATTTAAAATGAGTTTCAGGAGGCAGGTGGGTTGGGGGGCTGGGAATGGGGAGAATGGACATCCTTCTCAACTACACCTTACAAAGAAAAAAAGTCTATGTAAATGGCAGAACACAAGTTACCTCACACCACTGATTGAGGCGGTTGATAAAGAGCCCAGATCTTATTGATTCTGCCCTTTCACTATCAAAGATGAAAATGCTCTGATCTGAATGGGCAGTTCTAGATGCAGTCACTAAAACATTATCCTTGGGCTTCAGAATCAATATCAACTAGGGAAATAGTGTTTTGATTTTTAAAGTAGAACAAAAGTCCAAGTATAAGGAATTTTGTCTCTTCCCAAGGAAGGAGAAAGTAAGGCTGTACTCAAGGTACCGGTAAAATACATGTACAGATGGAACTCATTTTTCTGAAGTCTTCAGAGTTTCTGATTTGAATGATTATATGAATGTTCTTTGTAGGGAATGGAGAGCTCAACTTGTTCTCCTCTTCCTCAAACATAGAGATCAGGAGAATTGCTTGAGTTCCTAGATCAGTAGTAGAGATGGGTCTCAACAGGAACACCAAATTTAAACGTCCCATTACCTCTGGGTTGAAATCTGAACCCTATCCAGATTCAGGTTGTGTGGCTTAGGCCCATCTCTGGTCAGTACCAAAGAGCCATGGGATCGGAACAGATCCTAATTAGAATATCAGACACACCTAATAAAGTAGTTTAACTAACCAGACATTTACTACCCTCCTCATCCTTAACTAAAGGAATAATTTACTGAAGGTGTCACTAAGATATACAGAAGGCAGAATTGCAGCCTAACAGTTTAAAAAAAGAAAAAACACCTACATAAAACAATACTCCATACTCAGCTCCCACAAAGGCAACATTTATGTCAGTCCATAATATCCAATGGCAGAATGAGTTGGCTACTTTCACTTCTATCTAGGGAAAAGCAGAGATGCTATCCTATAGCTTTTTCCAGGACAAGTGACCTTAACACCAAATTTGCTAATTTCTAATTTTAGTCTCTTCCTGGCTGCAGAATACAAGTTGCCCCTTCTCCTAAAATACTGTAACAATTTCTCAATGCAACATGGGCTGATCTGAGTATATCTCAAAAGGATCCTATTCTAAACAGGGAACAAGAAGTTCACTGACTAAAGGTGTTCTAAATATCATTTGTTTTTTACATTGCTGTTCAATATATATTTCATTTTTCTTACCCTGGAACGTGTAAGAACGTGACAACACATCCATTAAAAAGAAGCACCAGTTACTTAATACAGTGGTTTTCAAACTTTTTAGGCTGCATACCCCTTTCCAAATAATGTAGTCTACCACGCACCCCCATCTGAGATAGGGTCAGAATATACCTATGATTAGATTGCCAACTCTTATTAAATAAAATGCACTGTCCACCATTACAGAGTTTGCATACCCTTAAGGATATATGTACCCCAGTTTGAAAACCACTACCATAATATATTTATCAACTTTACATTTACCCTAAGAGAAATTAATATATATGATACTCTAGTAAAATGATTGTGGTTTACGATCTTTGAACATTTCGTAGAAAAAGGTCTTGGGGGTGGTGAAGACCCCAACAATATTCAGCTCCTGAAAGAAATTAAATATTAATGGTGCTAACCATAAAGTTAGATCAAAATATCGTAGACATTCAGGTAACCATGGTTGAGGCTATTATTACAGAGCCACACCTTGTACAAAAAATAATATACATTTATGGTATGACTTTCAAACATGCTGAGCACTGACAGCACTGTTTAGCTTTAATGGGAGTTGTGGATATGCAATACCTCCAAAAATTAGGTCCTTAAAGTGCTCTACACAGTTCATCCAAAGGGATCCAGAATCACAAATTGTGGACCTGATTCTGCAAGCTGCTCGGTGCTGGCTAATGCTTCTGCCTGCATGGAACCTTACTGAAGTAAGTGGGGCGCTAAACAAGTAGAGAGATCCCTACCTGTTTAGATCAGCTTATGGGATCAAGTCTATATAGAAGGATCACATCACCCACTACTAAAATGCAGACAACTCTAGAACAGAATGCAGCAGCTGTTTAGCAGAATATTGCAACGCTCTTCTGTATTCTATTCCCTCCATCACAGATGATATAAAACAAATTTCCCTTTATTAAAGTATATGCTTACTAAAAAAACCCTTTAAAGCTTTAACTATTATCCTATGGACATGATTAAATAGTGTGGTTAGAGCAGAAATATTGTATTACTGCATATTGATAAGTGAATGATTCTCAAATAATTTCCTCCTTTTGCTGTACTGCCAGCCTCAAGATTCAACAATCATGAGTCAGCACCCACACACACACAAAAAAATCATACGATTTTTTTAAAATAATACATTTTGGGGTCTTTGTATTTGCATTCTGATTTAGGGGTCACATTTTCCAACTTCTCTCACAACCATGAGGGCTAGGAACATACTACTTGATAGCTGTGATTCTCATGTACTGGCATGACTTCAGGAACTAGGGCTTTTAAAAACAAACAAACATCCAGCTATCACGGGACTCAAAATAAAATCACAGGAGTTGGTAGCAGTGCTGGCCCATTGCATGATCTGATGACCGTGGTTGACTTCAATGGTATCTTTGCCTGAGCAAAGACCAATCAGGAATTATAGTATTTCACCCATAGTCATTATTTTGTTACCTCAGTCATGGAGCTCCAGCAAACTCAAACTTCCACTATTCCTGTAAATCCCGTCTAAATTTTTCTAAATGCAACAGATAAACGTCTCTCTCTTCATTCTCACTCCTCGTGCTGTGGACTATTGATATTCATCTTCATGCTTAGTTTTATTTCTGCTCCACTTCTTTGGTCTTTCATCTCTTCAGCTGTGCCTTAGTCTCTGCATTAGGGAACAAGCACCTAACCATGTGAATTTAGTGATGATTGATGACATGCTTAGAAACCAATTAGTGGGAAAACCTTACATGAATTCATGAAAGACTGTTACTTGAACATAGTCGGACATATTAAGGAAAGCTCTTACTCTAGCAAGCCAAATTGCATTCGTTATTAATAATGCAAAGATGGTTGCTGAGGGAAATACTTATTAGGACAGGTCCAGAAAGCAGAATTCAAACAGGAGAAGTGAAGTTTAATACTGCTGCTTAAAGTATCATTGCTACAAGCCAAAAAATCCCAAACTTATGTTCAGATTACATTTCATTTGCTTGCAGCCATACCACTTAGGTCTGTGATCAACTTAGTACTTACAAACTAAACAGGGTCAAGCCAGGTCAATACTAACCTAGATGCTGCTGAAAGTGGTGTTGCTCACTCAGTGTAAATCTTCCCCTGTTGTCAGTACTGACCCAATACATTAGTCTAGTATTGAGGGGCTCTCAGCTACTAGAGGTGCTGTCTTCAACATAAAATAGAAGAAAAAGTTTCCAACTACTTCTGGTTATTAAAAATTCTAAGATGGCACTTTTCATGACAGGCATCAGCCCTTGATAGAGTTAAGAGTCTCTGCCAATACAGCCATTCCATATAAAGAAGCAGATTCTGTGCTGCAATAGATTATTTTAAATATGTTTGAGGGCCAAGATTTTCAAAAATGACTAGTGATTTTTGATGCCCAATTTGTGACACTTTAAGCGGTCCTGCTTTCCAAGGAGCTGGTGCACAGTGCTTTCTGAAAACTGGGCTCTCTTTAAGGTGTCACAAGTTAGTCCCCCAAACACTGAGGCAGCTAAAATCACTGTTGGTGACAAAAAATCTTGGCCAAGAGAACTGAAGGTTCTATATTTTTAATTTCTCTCTTGCTTGAGTTCAGGTTTCCGCAGCTTCAGCTTTGAAAATCTTTTAACCGGTAAGGGGCTACACCGTGAGCTTTATCTTTCACCAGAGCCAGACCACGTACCACTCTGGAAAAGAAATATTTCCAACAGGCTTGCTGAGAAATACAGGCAATTCAGATTGAACTTAAAGGACACCCCGATGTCAGCAGTAATTGTAAGGTAAAACTCATCACTCTTATCCTTTCAGGATACTGTAGACAGAGATACCACTTTAATAGTGTGATTATATGTGGGGATAAAGCTAGGAAAGCTATTTTAGGAGGTGTTATGGGCCAAATTTTGCTCTCACTTATACTGATGTAAAACAGAAATAAGTCAGTGGAGTTACTCCAGTTTTAGACGAGCAAAATTTGGCCTCATTGTGGCAGTTTTATCTTCCTTTTGCACTTATACAATATTTTATTTTTGAACTCCAAGCTTTGCAACTCTGACCAGAAACCTTTTACTGTAGTATTTTGAGGGGCATGTTACCTTTCAAGTTGGCTGTTTTCCAAATGATTTTCCAATCACACGATATTCTGATATCAGGATCCTCTTTCTAGGAAGCTTTTATTTGTTCTGAAGTCTACTCTTGGACACCCATATCCACTGTCCAGTGTGTGAACCAGGAACTTTTGCACTTCTGCGAGTTATGGAAGAGAGGAGACAGCCATGTCTCCCCAAGCACACTCATTTCCTTGAGCAACTAATTCCTTGCTCTCTTGAGTAAGGGCAGTGTTTGCAATTAGCCTCCCAACAAGGGCCGCTGGACAAAGCATTAGCATTACTAAAGGGCATGACTGTGAAATCATAACACTGCAGTTTTTCCAACCACCTGGCAAGTTGCCCCTCAGGATCCTAAATCTAAAGGATCATTGTAGAGATGCGAGGTCTGCTGACCAGACCCCAGATTTCCTTCAGTACAAATGGTGAAAATGTTCTATAGATTTAACCGCTGCCAAGAGTTTATTTCAGGTGGGGAAATAATTTCTCTTTGGAGAAAGATAAGCCACCACCCTCTCAAGTCCTTTGTTTTCTTGGGTCAATACTGACCCCAATCAGTAAGCACTGCTATCTGCATCCAATATGAAAAGGGTTTTGAAATATGGATAGGCCAAGACAGGAGCTGTCACAAACACCCTTATCAGCCCTGAAAAGTACATTCTGCTGACCACTGAAATGTTTTCCCTTTCTCATCCACTCTATGTAGTGATTTTGCAATATTAGCAAATCCACAAATGAACCTTCTGTATTAGGAGAAGGGCCCTACAAAACTGCAGATGTGCGATTGTCTGAGGAGTCAGCCAGTTCTGCATAATCTCAATTTTCTTTGGTTTCTATGGAAATCTCGCACACCCCAAACTACCTGTACACCCAAGGTAAATTTCCTCTTTTTGGAACAACTTGCATTTCTTTTGATTCAATTTTAGATTGGCAGCTTTAATCTTATCACAGATCACTTACAAATATATCCATTCCTGTTCAAAGATTTTAGCAGCAGGTTATCATCTAGGTATAGCAAACTGACAGAGAATGGCATGCCATATAATATTCTGTCCATTCACTTCTCAAAAGTGTGATGCATTGCACAAGCTAAAAGTCATCAATTGCCACAGGGAAAGCAGTTTTTTCCCGTTTTTTGGATCCACTTCCACTTGCCAATACCACTTTTAAGACCTAGCATGGAAAACTATATAGATCCCACTAGAACATCCAGAGTATCACCTATTCATGGTAATGGATAAGAGTCCTTTAAAGTGACAATTTAATTTTCTGTTGTCCACGCACAATCTGGTGCTATCATCTTTGCCTTAACCAAAACTTTGGGTATGGCCCAAGGACTGGTTGAAGGCTCAGTTATGCTTTCCTGATATAGGCTATTGAGGAAATGTAACCACGCTTTTCTCTTTGCTATTGGGAAATGATGAAGTGGCTGCTTAATGGTCATTTCCCCTCAGTATCAATCTTACGCTGGCCCAGAACAGTACTACTTTTCTCTTTGTTGGACTAGGAGGACTCCTGATTCCTAACAGAAAGTCCTTTAGACTGTTCTGCTGCTCCTTATTGATATGTTGCGGCAGAATGCTGAAACAAGACCAACAAAAACTGCATCCCTTCCCCTTTGTAGCTTTCCTTCTATACCAGCATTTCCAGATCCACTGGTTCACATTTTGCAACCATGGTTCCTGTTTTTACTGTTTTTCAGAAACATTCAGCAAACAAACAGAAATGTATTCCTGCTTCAGATTCACAAGAGCTTTAGCTGCTAAGATTTCCCTGAGAATCTGGGTCTCAAAGCAGGTCACACCCACTCCTCATCTTTCTCTTGATGGAAAGTTACCACAGCATATAGCTGCTATTACTGTTTCTGATCCTGGAAGCAGGACAACTTGTTCACAGCAAACCAATTGCCTACATATCATTTGCCTCACCTGAGCCACATCTGTAAAGGGAATTTCCAGACTGATTTTGTAACCCTAATCTTGTAAGACCCCATTCTTGGCATTTATTACACTGTTATTAAGCTATAATGAAGTCCAAACCTTCTGGTCCATGGCAGTCAGGTTGCTGGTCACTTCATCAAGCCATCTTGCCGTTCCAGACGAGGAGCTCTGCAAATGGACTTCCCAATCTATTGAGACACTTTGTAGTTCCTGCTCCAAAAGAGATTTCATTTCCACCTGCAAGTCATTTCTCAGCTCGGTGGAACAGAAGATAGAGTCTGCCATCATGCTACAATGTACAATACTGTCACATCTCTGATGGGAGCTCCCAGGCAATCCAGCAAAGTACTGAACAGGATGAGGTTTTACAGGCAACAAAACTGTTCAGACTTCAGGGTTGGCCAGATCACAAACAGCAAGTGCCCCCAGAGGTTACTCCTGACTCTCAGGTGAGGGCTGAGCAAGACAAGATTTTGTTCAAAGGGAACCAAGCAGTAATCCTAACAGTTTTAAGAGCTGACATCTTCGGATGGATACACACTTCACACCTGGGGTATAGACATGCCTGAGACACGTCAGGAAATGTGTATATACATTGACCAAGTATGAATTGAGAGCATACATGGAGCAGTGCGAGGTGTGCAAAGAGTGTAGTGATCAATAGACGGAGATGCTACAGCCTCATTAAATCCCAACCCAACCCTAGGAAAAGGTTGGAATAGATTGGTTTCCTTTTAATGACAGGAACAACAGTCATAGGAGATTTTAACTCCAATTTCTGAGAGGTGGACTATCTAGAGGACTCCGGCAAGAACTATGATCCAGAAATTGAAGGTACATTTTACAAGATGTGGCATATCTGACACACTGTTCTCAGACAATGGGCTACTGGAGCAGAATTCAAATGATTCAGCACCAAATGAGAATCTGAGCACAAGATGCTCCCCGCCCCCCCAGTACCCACAAAGCAACAGAAAGGCAGAGTTGGCTTTAAAAACAGCCAAGAGACTGATGGCAGAGGCAAAACAGATAGAAAGGGATCCATACCTGGGAATGTTGGACCATTGAAATAAACCCTCCCAGGGACTAGCTAGTAGCCCAATAACAGAGACTTATGGGTTGGATAACTAAGACCCTGCTTCCCATGAAGGATAGTTTGCTGCAGCACAGCAGAGTAACAACAGGCAGCACGCAACAGCACTTATGAGAATGCCAAGCTAAGCAGGCAGCCCTCCACTACAAAAGAGCCAGAGACTTGAGCCACTATGCACACGTCAGCAGCTCTGGGTCTAACCATCAAATAGTCACACAAAGCAAAGGCCACAGGCCACAGTCCAAGCTGCAGTGGGATACAGATCATAGGAGGTAGCTACAGACTCAGAACAATAGCGGAGATGAAACTGAAGACAACTGCTAAATAGTGGCAGACTGCAGGGGCCAAAGGCCAGGACTAGTGGGATGTACAAAGAGCCTCAGACATCAGCTGGCCTGAGGAAGGAGGGTCAGAAGAAACAAGATATATGAGCAATACACAGCACTATAGGATGCCAGTCAACCGAATGAAGGCATCAATAGGGTGGAAGCAAGTTCCCTGAAAAAGTCATAACACAGACAAGAGTGGGAGATAGAGTCGAAGACCAGCACACTTGAAGGACTGAGGCTTACGTACTAGTAACCTCTGGCCCCAGCAAACCAGCGAATGCTGGCTTGCACAAAAGACACAACAAAAATTGTTAAGAAGGAAAGATGTAGCAACTAGGGCTGTTGATTAATCACAGTTAACTCACGCGATTAATTAAAACAAATTAATCGCTATTAAAAAATTAATCGTGATTAATTGCAGTTTTAATTGCACTGTTAAACAATAGAATACCAATTGAAATTTATTAAATTTGGATTTTTTTACATTTTCATATATATTGTATCCTGTGTTGTAATTGAAATCAATGTGTATATTATTTTTGATTACAAATATTTGCACTGTAAAAATGATAAACTAAAGAAATAGTATTTTTCAATTCACCTCAGACAAGTACTGTAGTGCAATTCTTTGTCATGAAAGTGCAACTTACAATTGTAAAAAAATTTGTTACATAACTGCACTCAAAAACAAAACAATGTAAAACTTCAGAGCCTACAAGTCCACTCAGTCCTACTTCTTGTTCAGCCAATTACTAAGATAAACAAGTTTGTTTACATTTACAGGAGATAATGTTGCCCTCTTCTTATTTACAGTGTCACCAGAAAGTGAGAACAGGGCATTTGCATAGCACTTTTGTAGCTGGCATTGCAAGGTATTTACGTGTCAGATATGCTAAACATTTGTATGCCCCTGCATGCTTCGGCCACCATTCCAGAGGACATGCTTCCATGCTGATGACGCTCCTTAAAAATAATGTGTTAATTACATTTGTGACTGAACTCCTTGGGGGAGAATTGTATGTCCCCTGCTCTGTTTTACCGGCTTTCTGCCATATATTTTATGTTATAGCAATCTCGGATGAGGACCCAGCACATGTTCATTTTAAGAACACTTTCACTGCAGATTTGACAAAATGCAAAGAAGGTACCAATGTGAGATTTCTAAAGATAGCTACAGCACTTGACCCAAGGTTTAAGAATGTGAAGTACCGTCCAAAATCTGAGAGGGACGAGGTGTGGAATATGCTTTCAGAAGTCTTAAAAGAGCAACACTCCGATGCAGAAACTACAGAACCCAAACCACCAAAAAAGAAAATCTACCTTCTGCTCAGGGCCGGCGCAACCCATTAGGCGACCGGGCGCTACAATTTGGGGGTCGGCGACTGTATTTCGGCGGCGGGACCTTCTGCCGCCTCTGTAGGGGGCAGCATTTCGGGGCAGGACCTTCCGCCACCTAGGGCGGCAGAAAAGCTGGCAGCGCTCCTGCTTCTCCTGGTGGCATCTGATTCAGGTGATGAAACATGCATCAGTCCACGCTGCTTTGGATGGTTATTGAGCAAAACCCCTTATCAGCATGGACACATGTCCTCAATCAATGGTGGTTGAAGCATGAAGGGACATATGAATCTTTAGTGCATCTGGCACGTAAATATCTTGCGACGCCAGCTACAACAGTGCCATGCAAACACCTGTTCTCACCTTCAGGTGACTTTGTAAAGAAGAAGCGGGTAGCATTATCTTCTGCAAATGTAAATAAACTGGTTTGTCTGAGTGATTGGCTGAACAGAAAGTAGGACTGAGTGGACTTGCAGGCTCTAAAATTTTACATTGTTTTATTTTTGAATGAGTTTTTTGGTACATAATTCTACATTTGTAAAACAACTTTCATGATAAAGAGGTTGCACTACAGTACTTATATTAGGTGACTTGAAAAATAGTATTTCTTTTCTTTTTTACAGTGCAAATATTTGTAATAAAAATAAATATAAAGTGAGCACTGTACACTTTGTATTCTGTGTTGTAATTGAAATCAATATATTTGAAAATGTAGAAAACATCCAAAATATTTAAATAAATGGTATTCTATTATTGTTTAACAGTGCAATTAATTGCAATTAATTTTTTTAATTGCTTGACAGCCCCAATGGCAACCAGCATGGAACTTGGAGGGAAGAGCACAGGTTGCAGAAGGAAAATGTGGTGGAGGCACCATAAACACACTTCTTAGGCATGGGGCTAGAATGCTAGCTGCAGTTTCTCTGAATAGTTTTCTGAATAAAGAGAATCAGTTTAGTTTTAGAAACATGGTGTCCCTTCATGTTATTACTTCAGCATTTGGTACATGAAAATTTCTACATCCTTTCCTGCAGACTTCCTGGTTCCTCTCATTTGAGAGGTTTAGATGCCATGGTGGTCTCAACAGACATGCTGTGCTGGAAGCTGCTGCAACCAGCTTCCTCATCATTAGAAAAGGTGTTTTCCAGCAACCTTGCTGCAAAGCCCCAAGCTCAGAATCCAGTAAGCTGAAAGGCTCCCAATTCATGTGATTGATGCACCTCTTCGCCTAGCTATCAGGTAACAATCAGCACATGGTGCTACAGGTACACGACTATTTTAAACACAATTGGCTTGTCATTTTTATAACACTAAACAGACTGAGAAGAACAATTATCTACCCTCTAAAAAGCTGCATCTGTAGTTTGGTTACAGCTTCCTGCTGCCTTTGGCTCTGATGACTTAATAAAAACATAATCCCTTGCATTAGTTTTGACTTTACACTAGCCAGTCTGGGCCTTGTTTCCCCAACACGATTGCTGGCACAGATGTACAAAGTTTTCCCCAACTGTGCCATTCTGTCTCATTCTAGTATAGAGGCAACAGTGAAATTTGCAAAAAGCAGGGGTGGGGGGAGCCCTAAGCATATCAGAAAACTGACCTCTTCATATTACAAAAAAGCTGGAGTGGTTACATGCAGATATCTGCAATTACATCCCTGCGCTCCAAAGCAGTTCAAGTGTTTGACCTACCAGTCTTCACAAGATCCTTTTAAATCGTATGATCCTTGAACAAGTCAATGGAATTGTGATGAGCCAGGACTCCTGCAGCCAACAGATTTTCTGGGGCATATAATGCTACAGATGGTTTCCTGTTATTCCTGTTGGAGAATCTGAAGACCCGCCAAGTGAACGGTTTTATAATAGCAGAGCGCTCCAGTGGATATAATATGCAATTAGCTATCAGTTACGCTTATTTGCAAAAAGGTTAGCAGGCACTCTTGCTCTACCAATCAATTTTGCTTTCCCTACAGAAACTATTGCTAGGGTGGTGATGAATTTGGCTCTGGCTTGCTCAGCTGGGGAAGGAGGAGAAGACAAAAAGAGAAAGGGCACTCCTGCTTCAGTTCTGTTAAACTGAGTCTTTTATATCGCAATAACTTAGTAACATAACACCCGTCATTATGACTTCATACATGTGGTCAAGATTTTGACATAATAGGAAAATGTGCAGTTGCTTGTCAAAGAGACTAAGTACATCAAGTTTATTATTTTTAATTACTGTTAATTATAGTTATGCATGAAGGCAACTTTCTTGTCTGTTGAATTCCCTTGTCTGCAATGTTTTTTTGTTTTTGTTTTTTTAAAGTGAAATTTATGATAAATTAGCAGGACCTCTCTAATTCACTCCCTTCTCCCTGTTCCTTTCCACATATTTCAGTACCATTAAAATGGACCAAATTCATGCCGTTGTAACTCCATTGCCTTCAGTGGAGATACATCAGGGATGAATTTGGCTCAGTATATTTATAGTGTTACAGTTATGATAAACTAACAAGAGGCTGGAAATTAAGTGAAGGCCAGTGCGCCTGTCTCATGTGCTTTTACCAAGTATCGAGGCGGAGATGCACAAGAATTTAGAGCAGGTATGTCAGGCTACATTTTGTTGGCATGTCACAATCATATAATTTAAGGCTTGTTGATGTTTTCTAGAACAGACACAAGAAGAATTTTTTTCCAACTACCTATGTTGCTGAAATCTTTGATTATTAAAACAATTTACTTTCCACCTTTAATGCCATTTACTTTTTGCACTTTGTTCATCTTATGTGCTAAAACTACACAGCAGTTTCTTTGAATCTCACGAGACAGCTCAATGCTGTTGTATATGGTTTCAACCCCCTCAGGAAACTGATTTGTTCAAAATACACTGGGTAAAATCCTGTTCCCACTTCAGTCAATGGCAAATATCCAGTTAACTTAAAAGAAGTTAATGGACAAAATCCTGGCCACATTTTTAAATCCATGACATCATTTTTGTAGTTAGGATTCATAATTCCCTTTAAAAAACAACTACATATTGGGCCTAAATTAAGTGCATTTCACCCTCTATGAAATGTGTCCTTTTAAGATACAAGTCTTGAATAGAAGGAATTAAGACTCCTCAAAATGCCATCAGACATTTTTATAATTATATCTTTCCTGAACACACTCAAGTTGAATGAACCGGTTTGTGCCTGCAGTTGACAAAGTTATTCTCACATAGCATTACTAACAGCTACTGATAAGCAAATGGCTAGGGAGCTTGTCCTAGCCTGGACAGTCAGAATGAGGCATGTGGTTGACTGTATAATGGTTTCATCTAAAGTGTGGATTCAACAGTGGCCATACTGGTCACAAATAGGCATGGAAACATTGCCTGTAGGTCACATGCTGAGATCTGCCAGAGCAGCAGCTTGCAATGCAGGATGTGCTGCCCTGATAATATGCAGATATGCAACCACTTTTTCTATTCTCTTTTGAAAATACCAGATTTGAGTCTTTACAGCATTTTAAAAAAATCTCCTGCAGTTTCAAGCTTTTTAGTGCTCCAGCCTTAGGCAAGAGGTTATTTCTAACATTGGAAATAAATATAAAACGAGAAGATCTCTATAATGCCTGCCAGGTGAACACCTTTTAAACAACAGTATTCACTTGGAAGGCCAAGAAATAAGGTAACATCAACAAAACCTCAGGGAATTATTTAAAGTAATAAGACCTTTTCCCTTCATGTCACTCTACCAAAGCAATAATGAGCTGCAATTAATATTTATTTTATACTTATACAATATTTCCTTTTCTGTATTAGATGGATAAAAAGAAACATATTAGCATCATATGACTATCACTCAGTTATCCAAGAACTATCAAGATTCGGTGCTATTGAATCCGTGACACCTTCTGGAAGACAAACAGCTGTAGTTATATTCAAAGACATCATTTCAGCATGTAAAGCAATGAATGCTTTCCCAGCCAATGACCCAGGCAGAAGGATCCAATGTGTTTGGCATCACAAATTCATGTCTGAATACAGAATATCAGGCCACAGAAAGATAAAACTTACAAGTTAACATTTTTATTAAATTGTTTCTATACAATAATTAATACAGTAATAATCAACATCAATAAAGGCACAACTAGGATTTACCCCCCCAAATGAGTATTCACTTATTAAAATCCTTTCAATGAGGATAAACAGATGAGCTTCAGGAGTTTGATCTTCACCAACAATAAAAATTACAGTTTTGATTTCTTCCCAAAGAAGCTCATAATAGCATTCATGCATTCGTCAGATAACCACCTTTCCCTGAGGAGTTCACACTCTTGACAGTTAACTGCATGCAGCTTCTCCTTTTCCACACCTCGTATTAACTGCTTTGACAGAGCCAAGGACTGGGAGAAGAAAAAACAAAACAAAACAAAAGCTCACAATTTGTGATGCATACATAGTACAAGTTACGTTATTCTACACATTCCCTCAGCTCAGCATTCTGAAAAGTAGCATGTGAGAAGCACTCAGTATGCAGTATCTAAACTGAACTGTATTCCAGTTAGATTTTTAATTTAATTTGGCATTTTACATAGGGGCCTCTGCTTTAACTGCTGCTAAGACTACTTAGTAGGGTGTGGTTTCAGGAGGAACAATACATCCATCCAGTCAATGCCCAGAATGTGTGTGGACAGACAAGTGTGAATTGGGAATTTGTTAGACTACCTGCAGCTCCAAATATAAATTGAGTTTTTATAAACTGCTGGTATGAGAGTGTCTATTATGAGACCAGCTCATTATGTTTTTCTACACATTCCAAGCAGTCAGAAAAGAGATGGACTATGGATGTAGGTTATTTTCTTTTCGGGAGAGAAATGTGTGTGCAGAGATTCAGGATTTGTTTTCTGTAGGTAGTCTGTTGGTTTGTGTAGTAATCCACTTTTGAAGGTGCTGAAGGTACCACTCCTAGGTAAGTCAGTAAAATGAATATCCCGCATGACAGCAGTTGTAGCAAACTTGTAACTATTAAATAAATAAAAAAAGCTGTTGAAACCAGTATCTCTGTAAACCCTGCAGGAGTTAGCATCCAAGGCAAATGCACATAATTTTCAAGCTCATTTAACACCTCATTTCTTAAAGGTACTTGAATGAAAAGTGATGAGCCATAAATGCAAGTGCATCTTGCCAACTTCAACCAGGATAGCCTCTGTGACAGAGGCAACTGTGACATTAATTCCTGTAGGGAAAACCATAGGAACAACCAAGCTTGAGAAGAACACTTAGGTTGAGGTTTGTTATTTTTTCAATTACCAATAAAGCCAACCCCCAAAATGGTAAGTTTGGACTCTATATAGTACCCTGTTATAGTGTCTGCTCATAAGAGAGCGGGAACTCTCTCTTGTTACAGGCTGTATATACACGATTTTTAAATACTAACGTTTTTGGGGAGATTTGCATAAGCTTTAAGTCTTATCCAAACTTCCTTTTCAAAAGTCCAGTCAGGGAAAACCTCAGTCACAAGTCCCTGGGCATATGCTTCCCCTGCAGTCAACTTCTTGTTAAAAAGAAGCATCTCGTTTGCCTACATGAAAGAAAACAAAAGGCTGTCAATCTAATAAAACACAAGAATTAAGAAACTAAAAAGAAAAACAGAGAAACAAACCTCCAGTTTACAATGCTCCTTTTCATAGTAGAAAAGGAAACTTAAATGTTGCCTGATAATTTCTGTTCTCTGAAAAGGGCTTGGCCACAGGTATGCACTGAGGGATTGCATCCTAGCGCATTGTGGGTAGCTGTACAGCTGTCAGAGAATCTGGCACAGGAAGGGCCATCCCCTCTAAAATCACCCCAGATTAGCTAATGTCAAAACTAATTGTTACTTACTCAGCTATTCTAAATGCTCCAGAACAGGGACTGGCACTCTAAATTGCTAAAGAGATAATCCTTGTCTTCCTAGTGACTATAAAGCACCCATTTCCCTATGTACTGTACAAAATCGTCATAATTTATGTTGAGAAATGTTGTTAACATAAAGGCGCAATATATACCTGATATAGCTATTTAAAACTGCCAGAACTATCACTGTGGCATACCTAAATAACAGCTATTGGGAATTATGCAATTATAATAGGAAGATAAGATCTGCTCTATTTTGATTGTGTGCATTTAAGCCTTTTTATTGGCTTTTTTTTATTATTCCTACTGCAGGCTCAGAAGAGAGAAATGCATGAGTCTGTGGATAGGAGACTAACAAATAACTCAGCCATTAACAGGTAGTAGAGAAAGGTTCTGGAATTTGTGAAAAAGCTTCCTAACAAAACTGAGGAAAGACTGAATATATAGTTTTCCCAAAGGTTCAGCAGGAGTACCTACAACTACTGCTCCCTGCCTGACAGAGGTGCTCAGCTGAGGGGTCCTTTTTAGTGCAATATCCTTCCTGACAACTTTACAGATGCCCTGGCACTGCTGGAGGAAAGATGCAAGCCCTCAGTGAAAGCTGAGAGACATGAGTTGGGGGGGGGGGGGGAAAGGGGGAGAGAGAGAAAGGTTGCATACCTTTGGCTGTGGATTTTTTTCTTTAGTTTTGATATTCAGTTTTCTCTTTATTTCAGTGCCCATGATGATACAATTTGACTACTTTCCTCATGTTTAAAAAACGAAAATTTTATTAAGCAGAGTGCAAAGCACAATGCGAGTGGGTTCCATTTACACGACCCTCCCACAGTCACCCTTCTCACTCATGTAGCTGGATGGCACTACTGAGGAAAACTGGAGTTTAGTTAACCTAGGTAGAAAGCACCGAGTTAAAGTACAGACTTGTGTTCTCTTACCTTGGATAAGCCCATTATCTTTGGAAACATGTAAGAAGAACATCCTTCTGGACTCTGGCCGAGTTCACTAAATGGGGTGTGAAACGTGGCCTATTAAAGAGTAAATCCAACTTTAAAGTGAGGAATCAAACACTAAATTTGTCATTTTAAATAGAAGAAAAATACTAGAGTCTAGTTTTTATGTTAAAGTCTTGACTACAATGGAGTTGCACCAGAGATTAATTTGATCCATTACTTTTACAGGCTTTAAAACACAGTTTAGTAACATGGGTGTTCACCCACACCAATCCTGAAGGGGTTAAAGGTAGGTTAGATGGGACAACTAAACACATAGGCTGCACCTAAAGGGAAACTAGGGATCAATAAAGCTTAATTAAGGATGAAGCTCACCTGGGCAGGAACAGGTGGGGGCACTTATAAAGCTAAGAAGCTGAGAACAGAAGGGGGAGAGGGGACAAGGGGAAATTGCGTGTAATCAATCACTTTCTGATAGAAGGGAGGTTTGTCAGATTACAGAGTCCAGCAAAAAGCCAAAGGGGGAAGCAGTCATAGGGAGAAGAGGAAGCTTAGATGGGGGCAAACCCAGAGGTACCAGAGGATAGAATGAGGGAGTAGGACAGAGCCTAGGGAAGTAGTAACCAGGGCTGGGAGCAAGTAGATCATAGTGCAGAGCACAGGGTCCCTGAGCTGGCACCTGGAGTCATAGGTGCTGGAACTAGGGGTGCTACCGCAACCCCTGGCTTGAAGTGGTTTCCATTACATACAGGGTTTATAGTTTGGTTCAATGGCTCTCAGCAGCCCCACTATACAAATTGTGCCAGCACCCCCGCCTGCAGTAGAGGGCAGGCCTGGGTTCCCCATCAGCCACTGGGAAAGAGGCACATAGAACAGGGGACTGCCTGGAACTGCAGAGACACAGCTTGTTCAGAGAGACACAGACAGACCTCTGCAAGGGGAGAACTAAAGTGACACCACCTAATAAGGAATCAATAATGGTATAACAAGCTCATTTACAGGGGACCCAAGGCAGGAACCAAGAGTTACAAAGGGCCCAATTCTGGCAGTGAATTTTATGCACAGAGTGCTTGCAGGACTGGACCCTAAATTTGACTACTGAAAGCCTTTCGGAAAAAAAACCACCCCTAACTAATACGTATGTGCAGCACTTTTCCATATAGAATATTTACATACATTTCCCCCAGAAGTTAAATAGTGTAAATAGCATAAAGACATGCAAAAATATCACTTCTGAACACACCAGTTCTTAATTTACAGCAATACAGATAAGTTGTCTGTAAAGGATCATGGCATTTTTTTTTTTTTTAAACATTGTAAGACTTTTTTCTCCCCACTTAAATTCTATTACACACTTGCTTCAGAGCTGAAACCTTGAATATTTTAATAAAGAAGTTATGGCAAAAGTGCACAATGTGATGTCACACAGAACCCTAAACTAGCTCCAAGTTAAAACTCATTTACAGGGTAAAAAAAGTTGAACTGCTGGATTTCACTGAGTGTCTCCTATTTTAAAAACATAAATGTACATGCAAATTGAGTATGAATCTCAAATTTCTGCCAAGTTTCCAATACCGCCCTCATTGTAATAAAAGGCTGGGCACCTCTACTCTATTTACAAACAGTTATACAGTGAGACAATTAAATAAGGTTTCATTTAAAAAAGACATACTGTATACTAATTTGTGCATGTAATATATCGAATCTTAGAATGATGAACTACTATCCAACAGATTGGCAGAAAAAAAAAGTTTGATTGATATAAATGCTGAAGCAACAATCTGAGACTGGTACCCATTAAGAATTACTTTTTTAGCTCAGGAGGTAATAGGTTGTCTTAAAACAAAACAAAAGAAAACAAAAAAAAACAGAGTTTTTATATCTTAGGTTTGCCTCAAATACGATGTGGATTCATTTCTCTTCCAAAACTTCTTTTCTATCTGAGTATGGACCTTCTGTACCATTAGATAATGGCAATAAATATGCCAGCCATGTAAATTTGAGTGAACATCTCTCTCATTTTATTAGCATGGAATATCACATTCAGTTTAAAATTTATCTTCTACTCACACCAAACTTGGACACAGCTTCGAACACCATTATAGGACTCAGTTTTTGTATAATATCAAATGTGAGATGGTAACAATACATCATTTGTTCTATTTAATGTTTACCAGATTTTTGTTGGGGAAGTTCAGCAAAGGAATCTGGCAATTCAGGGTTTGCTGCCACAGCTTCCTTGGCACAGAGAACAGTAACCCAAATAAACCGACAAAACCATAAAATTCTCCATTCCACACAAGATGTTTAAGGGTATAGCACAGAAATAATCTCTCATTTGAGGAATGAGAAAATGGGCCTCAAGACCAGAGACACTATTAATTCTGTAGACGCGGTAACAAATAATTTACAACAAATGAATGACAGATGCTTCCTATTTTGTGAAGTAACAATCTATATTGCGTATGTATTTGGATTTTATGTCAAGCTTTAGCATAGCTCTTTGTATAGTAAATTTGGTAATCTCAGCCATCTCTGATCTGACTAAAGAAAAGCTGTCATGAGGTTTTAAATTATACATTTGGTAAAGTTAGTTTATTGTATTCCGATTCTCTAATGGCATTGGTTATAGTGGGTTAAAAATAGTCTAATTGTTAACAAACTCATTAGAAGCATAATTTCACATCATCTACCCTTTACTGTGCCAACATGTAATGACTTTTTTCTTCAATAGAGCTCATATCGAGTCTCATTGTTCTTAGTGGCTGTGTTCAAATTACAGGCCATATCTTCATGAGAGAAATATCATGGGTGTAAGAACATCAGTTTAGTTACACTAGCGCAAACCCCTACTGTAGATGGGCTGCACTGATGCAAAGCTTACCTTGGTAAATTTCATTCCCACAAAGTCTAGTGTAGACAGGGATTTACAAACACGGATTGAAAATCAGCCATGCAATTTACGTACCCTGTCAGTAGCATACACAATGTCAAAGAGTCCAAGAAGAGTTACAGAGATTCCAACAGCTGGACCATTCACCACTGCAATCAATGGCTTAGGGAAATCAATAAAATGCTTGACAAAGTTCCTGGAGAGGGGAAGAGCAGAATTTGTCAGGATGATACATTAACTTTTGATGGGGAAGACCAGTCTTTTGCAAAAAACTTAAAACTATTTACATAGTCTATGTTTGTGTAATGCTGTACTATGAAATGTATGGTTTCCATCTTTCCCAATGTCCATTAACAAAGAACACAAAATCTATGTTAAATATCTACACTGCCTCTCCAGCTAGGATTCACAGGACATGTTCAGTGCTAGTTTATTAAAAGGTGAACTGCAAATCAAATTATGAAAATGCCATCCATTCCCTTCAGAAACAGGTAATAGACAAAAAACAGGTAATAGACAAGCTAAGACGGACAGGAAGCACATCATTGTTTAATAACTCACATTTCTCCCCATACACCCCATTTCCATTCTTGAGATATTCATCCCTTCTTCAGCTGTTTAGCTTCTATTCTGCCATGATGACCCAGCATGCTCCAGGAGCCTCACTTCCACTTGTCGATACAGGGTCATGTAAAGGTGTTCTATTATATTCTACACAATTATTTTATATCCTGAAGGGTACAACACATGTTCGTTTTGGGGTATCAGCAGCAAAATGAATACAAGGGCACCACAAGAGTAAGAGGGAGAAGGCCCAACAGAACTTGAAAGAAAAAACAAACAGGTGAAATTTTAGGTTTGTGCTGAATCCCCTACTTAGCATGATTAATGGGGGGCATTTACCACATACTGAGGTAAAAGAAGTTTACAAAATAGATCTGGGTCTTGTTATCTCTTGGGGGGGGAAAACTGAGGTCCACAGGCCACTTGCCTAAGTGAGGACACAGTCCTGCAGCCCTTCACTTGCAGTTTATCTTTAAATATTGGATAGAAAGCAGCAGGTACCTACCTACTTTAGGGTTTTCTAGTGTGCATTATTGTAGTATCTGATGCTTCAGTCAGGAATCCAAAGCCAGAGTATTTCCCAAGTATTTCCCAAGTTTCCGTCCGGGGCCGGCTCCAGGCACCAGCTCAACAAGCAGGTGCTTGGGCGGCCAAGGGGAAGGGGCGGCACGATCGCGGCTTTCCTCCCCCAACCCGCCATCTGGGGCAGCAAAAACCCTGGAGCTGGCCCTGTTTCCGTCTCAAATTTATAAGCACACAGAAGCAATGGTGAAGGTAAAAGATCTCCTAATCCTCTTTTTGCTTAAAATATATATCAGTTTCTGCCTGTTCTAAGTTATATTCCAGCCACAGTGTCATCCCACATACGTGCCCTATATTTGTCCTGCATCTTGCTGCACTGTATTATCTCACAATCTACCTTAAGACTGTAAACTGTAATTTTTTACTATTCAGTGTATAGAGAAAAAGTATGGTCTTGTAGTGAAGGCACAAGACTGGGACTCAAGAGAGGTGTTCAGTTCCAGGCTTAGTCTACACTAGAAAAAGTTTGCTGGTATAGCTACATGAGCAAACCCTCCTCATAGAGATGTAGCTTATATCAGCAAAAGAGTGCTCTTGCTGATATAGCTTCTACTGGTCTCCTCAACAAAATAAGCTATATTGTAAAACTGCATCTACACTAGAGCTTTTGCCAGTACAGAAATGTCATTTTAAAAAATAAAAATCCCACAGTCATCCCTAACTGACATTACTATACTGGCAAAGATTTCTAATGTAGACCTGCCTCATTTCCTAATCTGTAAAATGTGGTTAATACTTCCTTTCTCCCACTCTTGTCTATGTACATTGTAAACTCTTTGAGATCTCTCTTACTATGTGTATGTACTACACAGCCCTACTCTTGGGTGGAGCCTGTAAACCTGAGTTAAGTCAAGTAAATAATATCCTACCCTTTACAGCAGTGTATGCACATACAATATAAAAAAAATTCTTACTCGAGTAATACGGCACCATCTTTTGCCATCTTCTCTATTCCACCGGCTGGTATATTGGTAAAGTTATTCAGGTCATTTCCACTACAGTAATAATCCCCATTTCCTGCAGACAATATAAAGACAAAAAATTCTGAATAGGCAAAATAAAGAAACTGAAGCTTTCTTCTCACGTTTAGAAGAGAAAACTTAACTTTAGACATTTAGGTTAAGTAATTAAGAAGTTGCTTCAAAGCATAAACAATTCCTTGTTAAAGGATATCTTCAACCTAAAAATATTAGTTCTGATATTTTTAACCTATTATTGTTACCAGTAATGCCTAGGAGCAGTGAAAATGAAAGTTAGGGGTAAAAATATTCAGTTTACTTTTTGCATCTGATCACGCTTTGTGAATAGCCAGTTACACTGTTTCCACTGCATAGTAAGTCAGCTTCCCCTGTCTGTATGGGTCTTTCACACAGCAACAAAGGAGAGAAAATACATTTAAAAACCAATAGGAAAATACAATTATAGATTTTTCCTCTCCCCTCAAAACTGGCAGGGGAATCTAAATTACTTAACTAAAAAACAAACAAAACCCTAAATTTCATGTTGTGTCCCTTTAAAACAAACAAACAAACAAAAAAGACAGTAATCTACAGTGAAGACTACAAAGACTAGCATCTTACAATACAAGGCTACTGAGGACACAATTTTCAAACAGGAAGGGTGTGGTTAAAAGTTACAAGACATTGACTGGATGATTCTTTCCTGTTTCTAGAACATACTATATTCTATCATGATGGCTGAAGGCTCCAATCCTGTAAACACTTAAACACATTCATAACTCTGTGCCCAAGTAGTCCTTTTAATTAATCAGTGGCATAAAGGTATGTACATAAGTATTTGCAGGTTTAAGCCCCCGCCACTTATTATGGTTCTCTGAGAATACCACCCAGATTCCACAGTGATGGATGGCCTATAAATGCCAACAAGAACTACCTTTCTTCCTGCTTTAAGGGTAGTACGAGCAAAGTTACTAGTATTGGTACAAAACCCAGTATCTTGAATGTGTGTTGAAAAAGCAAATTTTAAAGACGGACATGACACACTCAGGGCTCACAGACCATATAAGAGAAGTTAAGATTTTTTAACTGATCACTAGAAAACATACAAGTGTCGTTTTTCTATTAGCTTATCAAGAACAGTTATTTCTACTCTGTTGATACATAACCAAACTGTGACTACCACAGAGAATTTAAAAAAAACAACAAAACCAAACCCCAAGAGCAACACCCCCATGCTGGAGATGCGGTATGCAAATTGTACAAATATATCAAAATTGATATTTTCCAGTATCTTTCACAACTTAGCATCTCAGAAGGATATTTAGAGGCAGAAGGAAGTGCAAATCTTATAACATTATCTTGAAAGGATTCTGCTGAGACACTTTGGAAAAAAATTAATCATGCAATTAATCACGCTGTTAAACAATAATAGAATACCATTTATTTAAATAGTTTTAGATATTTTCTACATTTTTAAACATACTGATTTCAATTACAACACAGAATACAAAGTGTACAGTGCTCACTTAATATTTATTTTTGATTACAAATATTTCCACTGAATAAAACAAAAGTAATGGTATTTTTTAATTCACCAAATACAAGTACTGTAGTGCAATCTCTTTATCATGAAAGTTGAACTTACAAATGTAGAATTATGTACAAAAAATAACTGCATTCAAAAATTAAACAATGCAAAACTTTGGAGCCTGTAAGTACACTCAGTCCTACTTCTTGTTCAGCCAATTGCTCAAACAAGTTTGCAGGAGATAATGCTGCCCGCTTCTTGCTTACAATACCACCTGAAAGTAAGAACGGGCATTTGCATGGCACTGTTGTAGCCGGCGTCGCAAGATATTTATGTGCCAGATGGACTAAAGATTCATATATCCCTTCATGCTTCAACCACCATTCCAGAGGACACACATCCATGCTGATAACAGGTTTTGCTCAATAACCATCCAAAACAGTGCGGACTGATGCATGTTTCATCATCTGAGTCAGATGCCACCAGCAGAAGCAGGCCCTGAGCAGAAGGTAGATTTTCTTCTTTGGTGGTTTGGGTTCTGTAGTTTCCGCATCGGAGTGTTGCTCTTTTAAGACTTCTGAAAGCATATTCCACACCTCGTCCCTCTCAGATTTTGGACGGTACTTCACATTCTTAAACCTTGGGTCAAGTGCTGTAGCTATCTTTAGAAATCTCACATTGGTACCTTCTTTGCGTTTTGTCAAATCTGCAGTGAAAGTGTTCTTAAAATGAACATGTGCTAGATCCTCATCCGAGATTGCTATAACATAAAATATATGGCAGAAAGCCGGTAAAACAGAGCAGGGGACATACAATTCTCCCCCCAAGGAGTTCGATCACAAATTTAATTAACACATTATTTTTTTAAGGAGCGTCATCAGCATGGAAGCATGTCCTCTGGAATGGTGGCCGAAGCATGCAGGGGCATACAAATGTTTAGCGTATCTGACACTTAAATACCTTGCAATGCCAGCTACAAAAGTGCCATGCGAATGCCTGTACTCACTTTCTGGTGATGTTGTAAATAGGAATGGGCAGCATTATTTCCCATAAATGTAAACAAACTAGCGACTGGCTGAACAAGAAGTAGGACTGAGTGGACTTGTAGGCTCTAAAGTTTTACACTGTTTTGTTTTTGAATGCAGTTATGTAACAAAAACAAACTACATTTGTGAGTTGCACTTTCACCATAAAGAGATTGCACTATAGTACTTGTATGAGGTGAATTGAAAAACACTATTTCTTTTGCCATTTTTACAGTGCAAATATTTGTAATAAAAATAATAATATAAAGTGAGCACTGTCTACTTTGTATACTGTGTTGTAATTGAAATCAATATATTTGAAAATGTAGGAAAACATTCAAAAACATCCAAAATATTTAATAAATTTCAGTTGGTATTCTATTGTTTAACAGTGTGACTACAAATGTGATTAATCACGCTTAATTTTTTAAATCATGATTAATTTTTTTGAGTTAATCGCGTGAGTTAACTGCGATTAATCAACAGCCCTAGGAAAAAAGAGGAAGGAAGTGTTCTTATTTTAGTTTCCTTGTTTACACCACAGTTCTGCCTTAGTCTGTTAATGGTTATCTAGTTCAATGGTGCACAAACTGGGAGTTCTCGGGGGGCGGGGGGGTGGGGAGGCGCGAAGAAACTTCAGCCTTTCGCTCTTTTACTAAAATATACAAATATCACTTTTCACAGCAGACTTACTAGCACCCCATTACCACCCTTACTTGTGTGCTGCTGGTGGCGGCAGCGCACCAGTGATCTGTCAACATTATATTTAGGCATAAGGTAAAATTCATCTCTTCAAAAAAAGAAAAAATAAATTTTGTTGAGAAGCCCGTGAAACGTGATACCTGTTATTACAGTTATGACTGAGTCATCCTTGGCAGCTTCTTCAAGTGCTTGAATAATTTCTCTATACATCTATGTAAAAGAAGGATTAAAAAAGAACATAAGAAAAAAAAAAGTGATGTCACAAAAGAAAACCCATTTCACAATCTTTGAAATTAACCATAGTAGCATCTTTTTGCAGTTTACAGTCTCAATTTAGAGTATGATTTAGGTCAACACTAAGAGCTTTTGAAAAAATCAAAACCTTAAAAAGCTGTTCATGCTACCAAGGTGGTTAGTTTTTGTACATCAACTCAAAGCTAAAGAACAGATTGAAATGGAAAACAAATGAGACAATGAATAGCAGCAGAAGAATTACATAAATTGTTTGAAAGAGCAGGGAAATGGAGGACACGCCAGAACTGGAGGGAAAATAAAAGTCAGCTCTCTGCTTTTGGAAACATAGCACTAAGGCATTATGCTGAGGAGACAAATACCAAGAAGAAGAGCAGCTGCTGCTGCTTTAGGCTATGATTGGGCATTAGCAAAGTATATTCTTCGAAGTTACTTCACAAAAATGTAGCTGCTCAGCGTTTGTCCACGTGCATCACTATAGCGAACTGTGGGTCTCATCTGCTCGGTGCTGAAGGTTTCGACTCCCATTGAAGCCAATGGGAGTAGAGGAAGTCAGCATCTCATAGGACTGGGCCCACAATATTTGAAAGACACTCCAAAAAGTTGTTATAAAACTTCACCACAACATGTCAGCGAAACCAGGCTTTTAACCTGATGTAAGAGAATATTTAACCCTAATGTCAATGTCTTTACCTGTGTGGTGATAGCATTTTTCTTCTCAGGGCGGTTTAGCATTATCTTAGTGATGTTGTCTGTGGTGGTAACCTGTAGGGTTTCATATCCATGTTTGCTGTCAGGAGTAGTATCTTTCACCTGGCTAGAAGACTCAGAAGAGACCAAACTTGACACAAGGTCAACATATTTCTGTCTGGCATTGTCCTGTGGTGAGGAAAACCCAAAAATATTATTAAACAATGCTGGAGTCCAGCTCAGTCTCCTCTGCTTAGTGCAATGATGAACTGAAAATAGGATTTCCTTCTCAGTGTAAATCAAACTAGAAAAATCTGTTTAAATGGAAGTTATGTTCATCAAGGTGACCAAGATGCAAATAAGGACGTTTATTGAATGAACACTTTGTATGTTTTGTGTCTCATGAGAGCAATGGCAGAGGTTTTGATGGTGTTGAGCATTGCCAGTTTGAGGGGGAAAATATCTGTTTTGAAAATCCTTATGGTAGAATATGCTAAAGGCAAGGATTGTCACTTGGTTTTCCAGATTTGGGAGAAGAGGGCTCTCAAGGTATTCTATACTGAGATACACATTGGGACAGTCCTTCAGCAAAACAAAAATTTTATTTCAGAATGCAAGTACTAATGGAAAATAAAATGCCAGAAAAGGAGGCTAAGACACATTTTAAACAGTAAGCTACAGACATGAAAGAAAACTAAATATTTAGCTGAAACATAAAAAACAATCTGTTAACAGTGTAAAGATTAATAAGTGTAAATTCTTGGGTGTCTCACAAATTATTATCCTGAATGAAATGCTGCCTTTGAATATTATCATAACTGCTAGAGAATCTCCATTTCTCTATATCTGAACTTCAAGAATGGATTATTCTCTAGTAATATGAGTTGTTCAGCTCATTCTACAGGGTGTAGAGAGCCCATTTTAAAACAACCATCTACAAACACCCACACACACACACACATTTTGTAACTTATAGTTTCATCAGAGAACTGCTTTTCTATATGCATCAGTCTTTTATTTTGATAAGATTGCCCAACTATTTTTTTTTTTTAACATCCATATGTAAAATCTGATATCTCAAATCTTTACACTTGGTAACTAGAGTTCTTTTATGGAGAGATAATAGTCTGTTCATTCTAGGGTGCAAGAACGACCCAGACTTGCTCTTCTCTCACTCTAACAGATGTCTTGAGAATAAACATTTAATTACAAGTGGTAACCTTCCAAACAGAAAGATTTACCAATAACAATGATCAGGGCATAAGACTGGTCAGCTAGCTCAAAACAAAACAAACAAACAAACAAAAAAACCACCTTCTCTCTTCCCTTTTCACCTCCCACTTCCAAGTGATTTGGAAAACTTCTTCCTAATGATAGGTGGAGCTCAAAAGTTTCAATTCACAGAAGTACTAAAATTTCTGGATGCTTATTGAAAGGCTTCTTGATCTAGAAATTGTATTGCAATCTCACGACAGACCCTCTATGTTTCTGGCAGAAACCAGTAAGTGTGGAGACACGGGAAAAATTGAGGGGAGGGAAATTTAAACCAATGAGTTCCAAAATGGTTTCAGTTCAGTTCTAATTTTGCATACACTGGTTTACCTCATCTTTATGCCCCCATACCCAAGGTTAAAGTTTTTTGTTTTCCCCTGCAATTGCTGATCACAGTATTAGCACCCAAAGAGCAAGGAGTTGCATTCTTTACATTGATTTAGTCATTTGATCTCACAGAGAGCTACGAAAACATCACCACTGAACTTGGATTTCTCAGGAAAGAATAATTATCCAACAGGTTCTTTATAAATTCAATTATATGTAATTTGGGGCCAATTTTTAAAAGAATGTAAAAGCCCAGCCTCCCTTTTGGGCAGGATACATTAAATTGAAAAGATTTGAACCTACATTTTTAAGCCTATAAATGAATTGCTGTCACAAATCTTAGTACTTGCATCTTAACTACCTCTCTTGTGGCTGCAATTAGGTAAATAAACCGTAGGAGCACATTTTGCAAGCACAAATTGTGGCCAAAAAGGAAAGGCTACTCTGTTGAAAACTTGGCTCTTAAGTCTAATCAATGGCAAAAAAGTATATTAATATATGATATTAACATAGGTTGGTTGTATGTTGTCCCCTTTCAGAATATTGAGTTAAGCAAAATTCAAAGTCTGAAAACCAGGAAATGCAGAGTTAAGGTTGCACACACCACCTTAACTTTGCCCTCTTTCAGCAATGCCCCAGTTCGCCCCATTAACACATATACTTTTACTTTGCCAACCCCAGAGGCGCTGCAATGTACAAGCTCTTCACCTCCTCTTGCAACCCATTCACTCTCACCCTCAAGATTCCATCTAACACTATTAAAAGGTAGACAAGGGGGGAAAAGGGTCCTCCTCCTCCATTTTCCCTAACTCCCAAGGTCTCTCCCCTCCCCTACGAACCATGCCCATTTATCCACCTCCCACACTACACCCCAAAACCCCTCTCCCTTTATTCCACCACTCCACCACCCTCCTAATGTCCATCTCTTCCCAGGAAACATTCACACATTTAATTTTCCCCCACAAAGACTGATTACATTCCCCCAAAATAAAATTGCCACCCAGGAGTCACAAATTGTAGCAGCCTCCAGCCACTCCGTCATAATCCTTTTGTTTTAAGTTATTCACACACTCCTACCTATCCTTAGTTATGTTAACTGAAGGATGTTCACAGCCATCAAGCCCAATGAGGTCTGTGATTCATCTAGTCATTAGTATCGCTCAGGGCACATCTACACTATAAAAATTAAGTTGACCTAACTTATGTCAGCCTACAGCCATGCAGTAATTACATCGCTTGTGTGTGTCTACACTTTGCTCATGTCAGCGGTATGCTTTTTCGCCAGGAGTACTTCACCAACTGAACTGTCAGTGTGGGGCATTGTGGGATGGCTTTTGAAAGCCAGCAACAGTCAATGTAAGCAACGCAGCACGTACACTGACACTGTGCCGACCTAACTACATTGACACTGACTCTGCATCTCTCGTGGAGGTAGAGTTATTAAGTCGATGTAGTTAGTGAATTACGTTGGCAGGAGCTAAATATTAGTGTAGACACTTACAGAGTTAGGTCAACATAAGCTGCCTTGTGTGGACGAACTGTAGTGTAGAGCAGGGCTCAGTTTAACAGTACAAGCCAGCAGAAGGAAACTGGGGGTTTTTTTTTGGGGGGGGGGGGCGGGCTGTAACTTGGGAACCTTTTAGTTAAATGACCCCATGGTTGGACCACTAACGCCCCCCGAGGCACATCAAATTTCAATGCAATGCAAGTAACTGTTCGGATTTTAGAACACTTAAAAGAGTTGAGCTTTAAAGCATATAAAATGGTGGGAAAAGGAAACTCTTGCCATTTTTCTGTACTGGAATATGCACACTAAAAAAAATTTACATTTTCTTAAATACCATGCACTACCTTGGGTAAAACTTGACAGATTAAGACTATTTTGACCCATATCACATCAGTAGTTTGATCTCTAGCACCACACAAAAAAGCCCATCTAGAAACTTTTTGAAAAATGGCTAGTTCTGGGGAGAGGGAGCTTCTCTCTCTGTAACCCCTAGCTGAAATGACCCAAAAATTGGGTCATTAACCCTATCCAGGCACTCTCCTGATAAACACCAAATTTAAAAGAAATCCAAATACGTATGTCAATTTTAAAGGCCTTAGAAAGGTTGACCTTTAATCAGAAACTGTGATGCAACCTTAACTATAGTAGTGCTGCTGCTGTGATGTTCAGTTTTGCCATTGATAACTGATTGGTGGCTGCTGCTATGCCTGGTTCAGTTTTGGTTGTTGCTGATTTGTACTCTGCCTGGCCCATCTTGATTTGCACTAGTTTGTCTCTTATGGCCTGGTCTTCGTGCCTTGTCACCTTAGCATGAATCTTATCGGCACCCATGGTGGTTTTATGTTGCTGCAAAGGAGGAGTGTGCAGACTGATAGCTGCAGATTTGGGCTTGGTGCTGCATGAATGAACTCCTTCCAATGTTGCTGCTTCAGCCCAGAAAACATGGCCAATGGTTCTACTGCTGGATGAGCTGGGTCAGATATAGGCCAAGCAACAGCCAGTGCATGCTCACATGCTTCAATATCTTACAGACTTCCACACTGCACAGCTTGACACAAGATTAACTCCTGGGGACATTTCGTGCTGTTGTTGAAATAACAGAAGATGTCAATTAGGAGCTCATCATGAGTAAGGCCGTGTGTCTATCATGGAGGTCATGGATTCCGTGACTTTCTGTGGCCTCCATGACATTTGCAGCAGCTGGCTCCAGGGCTGCCCCAGCACTCGGGCAGCCCCTGGGCCAGCAGCAGCAGCACTTTAGGTGTGGGAAGGGGCTCAGGGCTGGGGTAGGAGATTGAGTGCGGGGCTGCAGTTCCCAGCCAATGGGAGCTGCGGAGCTAGCGCTTATGGCGGGGGGCAGCACGCAAAGCCCCCCGGCCTTCCCTCCTCCTAGGTGCTGCAGGGACATGCCAGCCGCTTCCGGGGAGCTGCGCAGAGCCAGGTAGGGAGCCTGCCAGCCCCGCCAACCCTATCCTCCCCCCCAGCAACAGCAGGGTCCCAGGCCACGCGCTGCTGCCCGCCCTTCCACCAGCACCAGCGGACCTCCGCTCGCCTCCCCCACATACCAGTGGGCCTCCACCCCAGCACCAGCGGCCCCCAGAGTACCCCCGGCCCAAGTTTTAGTCAGGGGTATATAGTACAAGTCATGGACAGGTTACGGGCCATGAATTTTTGTTTACTGCCCGTGTCCTGTCCATGACTTTTACTAAAAATACCTGTGACTAAAACATAGCCTTAATCATGATATTTTGCACTTCTCTCAGATATTGCACTTCTCTCAGCTGTGATGTGCACAAGGTGAAGTGGGCAGCCCACAAGAGAGATGTTTCTCTTGAATAAACACTGCAACACCCTTGCGCTTGCCCATCATGACAGAAGCACTGTCACATCAAAAGCCAAGCGGTTTGACCATGGGATTTTCCTGGCATCCATATCTGAATTCAGAAGATGATCTCTTTGATAATGGCTGTCTTTGTGCGAATACATACGTATCTCCTGGTGATTTCCAAATCAGGAAAAGCCGTTTTCAGCAGCTTTGAGACATGACTGCTCACCACAACTGGCAAATTATGCTCAGCGATGAAGCCCGTTACTAACACTTCAGCACAGATCACATTCTTGTTGATGTCTGCAGTAAAGAATTGCTTTATCTGCATGCTGCTGGCTGGTGTTTTTGCTGTCTCAACATGCTTTTTCGCACAATGCAAATTTTCACATTTTTACAACAGCCATGCATGATGGATATGTCCATGTGACATAGTTGACAGTACACCCAATTTTCCACTCTCTCTCAATAGCTTAATCACTTCAAATTTGGTTGTATAGTCCATTTTGAACTTCGGAAACCATTCCACTTAGGGCTTTTCTGGCATATTTGTCTCATTTTTATCACCCACATCAGCCATTTTTATCAACAATGACTGCTAGTGAACTCTGGGGCAAATGGAGTGTAGCAAAAAAGAAGTCATGGCTGCTTGCTCCCACGGCACTCCTTTCACTAGAGGTGCAACCAGAATTTTCATAAGGAGGTCACCTGAGAGGCCTGCACATGTGTATCGGGTTCCCCCTTTGCATAGCTAGGACCTCTCCCCCCTCCACACTGAGAAACCGGGACCAGCTGGCATGCTCTAAAAAGTTATCTAGAGCACGTTAATATAGTCCAGCAGGGTCTACATGGGGCAGTTAGAGCACGCCACACATCTTGTAGCATGGGTTCTACAACCAGCGCCACAAACCCCATTCAAAATTGCTGGGGCTTCCTTTCTATCAGGCCCTCACCGTGCAGTCTGCGCATGTGCCACGGGGGAGAAGAATGACCCCCATGGCCACCACACTATTTGCTGCATTTGTTGGACCTGAACGGTTGCAAGTGACACAAAAGTCATAGATTTGAGGCCTGAATTTATAAATACACGGAAAAAATCAGGAGATTATGGAAAATAAGGGAGGGCTGGCATTTCTGCTATTGAGCTGGCCAGTTTCACAATCAGGAACTCGATCTGCTAAATACATTAATGTGGCTAGGAAGAAGCAGTCAGGCTTATGGCAGCATAGTGCAAAGACCTAACTATAGTTTGTACAAGGCAGCTCAGCCTTCAGTGTATTGATGCGGCTACCCCACTCAGACAATGCACAAAGAGCCATTACTTTCTCGCACTGTGAACATCACTATGTATGATTACTATTCTGAAGTACTGCAGTCTGTAAACATTGCTTATTAACTGTAAGCCCTTTTAAAAAAAAATTAGTGCATCAGTGAAGACTGATCAACAATTCATGATATGAGAATCAGAACATGAGAACTAGCAATAATATAGAGCTACCACAGCATAATCAATATGAAAGAAAGAAATCATTACCCCTCTGACAATGATTAGTTAAGCGATGTTAGCTATATTATTGCTAAGCTAAGTGAAGAAATTTTTTTTCTGATGCAGCAGTTTGTCCATTAGAACTAGCAGAAGTTGTTTCAGGAAAGTCCAAATTTTGCCAACTGACACGACTTAGGGAGAAGATATTTGGCTCTTAAAAGTACAGTTTTACTCTGAAAAGTGACTAAAATGGCATAGCAGGAAACATTTTTATTCTCTCTCAATAGATTTCATATATAAAAGTGTGCTTAGTTTAAAAATAAAAATATATAGTTCTATCAGCTTTGCAAACTCATCCTAGGGCTCTGGTAATCTACCTGCATTAGTTTGCAAGGCTTACAGTTAGAAGAACCATATTTTAACTTATAAACTAAGATTCCATATCAAAAAGTATTCTATTGAGACAGAATAAAAATGGGATACAACTAGGCTGTTTTTTAGAGTCACTTTTCACAGTCTTTTAGCTGATAAGTTCCCTATTTCATGTGACAAGTTACCAACATCCATGAAATGAGCATTCCCGATGGAAGATTTCTTCCTCTTTTAAAGAAAGAGATAGAAACTAGCTTAATTCCACTTGTAAAGTCCACAAAGTAGGCACAAATTTGTTGCTGGGGTAGTGTTGTTTATCAGCTAAAACCAAATTAGACATTAGTCTAAGGATCCTCGCCTTTAACTTCCTTATGACAACACCCAATTCATCCACATATACGTTAGCCAGGAGGCCTGGGTAAGACTAGCATTTGGAACAAGTCATTTTCCGTCCTTGATCAGCTGATAGAATATTCTATAGAACTAAGGCTTTTTATCTCTTCCTGGAATACCAGAAGCGCATGTGCGCTCTCTCTCTCTCTCTCTTTTTGTATCTATTCAACAACTAAGAGAGACACAGGGAGGCAGACACCCTTGTTCTCCCACACATACACACAGTCAGGGGCTTAATCTGTAGGGCAATGAAAAGTGCTATAAAGCCCATTTCATTTTTTACATTTTAGCATTTCTTTAAAAAAACGACAATTAGAATGGCACTTTTAAAAGCAAGCAAACAAACCTTCCTTGAATAAGTAATTACACCTAAAAAACTCTTGTAGACAAACATTTCCATCAACTGTTGGTAACACTTTACACCAAGTTTACAAAGCAAAAATATAAAACCAAAATATTTTAGAAGTTTGTAAGACAGTGCAGAATATGCTGATGTCTGAAACAGACTTTCAACTCACACGCAGTAACACACTAACCCTTCACTAATCAGTATCAAATACCTGGTTGGTAAATGATGTGATGAATTGAAAGCAGTGCTATATTCACCTTAGACAAACTGCCAAGTGAACTCCATGCATCCCATTTGGCCTTCTTGACAAAGTCAAGCATACCAGGCTTCGGAGAACTGCAGGGACCCTCGGTAGCCTGTATAAAGGATGGAATAAACTCATGTAAGCTTTCAAGTAAGTTCAAATTTCTCAACCAGTAGGCTGGGGGCAAAGAACACAACCACTATCAATCATTACATGATCATGGCACAGAAGCTCTGAAAACAAACGAGTATGCTCCAAAGAAAGGAGTACTGTAAAATCACTATGTCTCTATTAAGTCTTTTAAGTATTTAAGATAAGCAAGCATGCAACTTCTCAGGAACCCAATCTCAATATTGTACAGACACTCCAACCATTTTAATTAAATTAAAAAAACCAACATGTTTTTAAAAGGTGTATTTGTGTATACAGTTTACAAAAATATCGTTGCACGAGATCAATCTTTCTTTAAGAAAGGCACATTACCTATACAGGGAGAGAAATATTTAAACCCCAGCTTACTAATGTCAGCTGTTACTGACAATAACAGGTAAAGGTCTATCTTTAAAAAGTGTGTGTTCTTGAATTTTATTAAAAGAACAATTAGTTCCTTCAATACAACAAGATATGGCCCAGACTAACCCCGCACCCCAGATTAATCTTTTCCCCATACACTTCATACCAGTGGTTTTCAACCTTTCACAGACCCCTTAGAGTTTCAGATCCCAGAAAAGGCATTCAATTTTTCTGATCAAAAGGATGTGAATACCTCCATCTGCAGGTCAAAACCTGGAAGTGTTGTTGTTACCATAGAAGCCCAGTTTAACACTTAAAAAAAAAAAAAAGGAGATTGAAAACCACTGCTTCATACCATTACAAAGAGATTCCTTTAGGATAGTAAGACCCACCCCACTATAAAGGGCTTGCATAATGCCCTCTGTCACGTTGTCCACTTTAAGCCTTAGTAATAAATACAATGGGTTGAAACCCAAGTTCCCTCTAAGCTGCTCGACTGTGCAGCAGCCTATCAAGTACCGTGCAGGCACTCAGGGCTGCGGCAGGGAGGGGCAAAGGAGCCTCTCCCGCAGCTCCAGCCTGAATCTGCCATGGCTCTCCCACGGCTTCAGTCCCGGAGCTGCTGCAGCCGGGGAGAGGCGCTTCTCCCACCTAGTCCAGGTGCCACAGCGATGAGAGAGGACTGGGGGGGGGGGAGGGGAGGAGTCCTCTCTCCCCACCGCGGCCCCGGGGCTGCCTGTACCTCAAGCCCCTCATCCCTGGCCTCAGCCCAGAGCCTGCACCCCCAGCTGGAGCCCTCACTCACCAGCAACCCAACCCTCTGCCACAGCCCTGAACCCCCTCCCGTACCCTGAACCCCTCATCCCCGGCCCCACCCTTGAGCCCGCACCCCCAGCTGGAGTCCTCACTCCCTGTACCCCAGCCCTGAGCCCACTCCCACACTCCGAACCAGTCTGCCCCACCCCCATTGCACATCACCTCCATATTGGTGCACATAACAAAATTCATTCCACACATGCATGGGAAAAATTAGAGGGAACATTGGTTGAAACTATAATCATTTTACACAAACTAAGTGGTGGATTAATTTTTTACCTCAGAAAAAAATTCCGTAGGCATATAGGACCTGTACACACTGCTGAAAGGGAGTGAATTGAATTCTATTTCTTCTTGTGCATTGACAATTCCACACATACTCCCAGTCCAAATCAGGCACACCTCACACCAGACTGAAGGTAATGGAATAGTACAGGTGTCACTGAGGGCATAATATGACTCACAAACCAAACCAGTTACTGGTGATTATTCATGAGGTGAGAAGAACTCAGCTTGACTCTCAGAGCTCAGGCAGAGTTGGCAGAGCTGTCATTTATTAAAAAACAATTAAAAAGCATTTCTGAAATGGAATGAAGTTGCTCAGACACAAAATGTACAACCCTATAATGCCTTTTAAGAAGAATTCTTTTACAGTCACTTTTCAGACTATAGCCACAATTTAAACAAAAATTGTCTGACCTACCTGTTTAAACAATGCGTAGAGCTTCAACTTTACTTCATTACCAGGGTCCTCCTTCAAAAGCTTCAGCTGATCTTTAGCCTTTTCAAAAACTTCCTGACTGACTCGCATGGTAGCTCCAGTCGTATGCAGCTGAATTACAGGAAAACGGACAGCATGCACTGTCCTACTATAAGGAAAACAAATATCCATTTATAGCTAGCTGTTTAGTCTGCTGTAACTATAAAAGTTGTTTTTCAAGATGTTTAATGTTTGCCTTTAAAAAAGAAACATTCACGGGGTCACAACTACATGTTCAAAAAACAACAACTTGGTAAATAAATACAAAAAAAATTACAAAAAGTCACTGTAGAAATTTGATGCAACTCGTAGCATAATTAGCCTTTGAACAACTAGTACCTAATCCTTTCCTGTACATAAACTAGAGTGCCAGAGATAGGAGTCAACCAGGACACTGCCAGAAGAGAAAGGGGACAGAGGGAGAAAGTTATGTGATCAGGTGCCAGTCAAGCTGCAAAACACTGATCAGTTGCACTGGTGGCAAATTAATGTTTGTTTTTACCTATAAATCCATAACTCCACTGATTCCATCTATTCTGGCTGTATTGGAGAACACAATCGAAAAAATATATTGTTATGTGTTCAATGCTGTGTATACAGTAGAACCTCAGTTACGAAGACCTGAGGAATGGAGGTTGTTTGTAACTCTGAAATGTTGGTAACCCTGAACAAAACATTATGGCCGTTCTTTCAAAAGTTTACAACTAAACACTGACTTAATGCAGCTTTGAAACTTTACTTTGCAGAATAAAACTGCTGCTTTTAACCATCTTATTTTAAATGAAACACACATAGAAACAGTTTCCTTATCTTGTCAATTTTTTTTAAACTTTCCCTTTCTTTTTTTAGTAGTTTACGTTTACCACTGTACTGTACATGCTTTTTTGGGGGGTGGGGTGCGGTGCAGGGGGTCTCTATTGCTGCCTGATTGCGTGTACTTCCAGTTCCAAATAAGGTGTGTGGTTGGCCAGTCAATTTGTAACTCTGAGGTTTTACTGTATTTAGTTTACAAGCTACGCAAGTCTAAAAAAATCTCTTGTAGTCACTGTCATTTTTTATAAATTCCTCAAGTCCAAATATATGTAACATCAAATACTGGAGTCTATTGGTCTGATTCTCCTGTAAGACGAGCGGGAATCAAGAGTAATTCCAGTGCAGGTGATGGAGTTGCATCACTCTTCTACATTGGTGTAAAAGAACAATCAGACCCAAAATGTTCTGTTGACATTTGGGACTAGACCTGGTCAAAATATCGGACTGAAGTTTTCCATCAGAAAATGCATTTTTTTGGTCACAATTGAAAAATGTTTTGCAGGAATGTATCGATTTCAATTAAATCTTTTCTGTGGAAAAAGTGTTGAAACTAATCATTTTGACTCATTTCATTTTTGTTTTCACTGCTACATTCTAATAATTTTCACACTGTATACAGCTGATATTTTATCTATTATAATATTATCAAAAGTGTTTCAAGGTTTCTGAATAAAAATTTTTTGGCATTTCTGTTCTGTGGGGGGAAAAAATGGCTTTTTGTTCCAATTAAAGAAGGAAACAAATTTTGAAATGTCAGTATTTCCCACAGAATGGGCATTCCATTTTCTAACCAGCTCCAGTTGGGACATTAACAGGTAAATATTTTCCAGGTCTTAATTTAATATCGTTCTTATTCATTCTGTTAGTACTTACATTACAAAAACATTCTTTTGCAGATCAGATCCATATCAAGTAACTCACCCTTTTTTCCTCTACAGTCAGAATTTTAAAGAAATCTAGAAATAATGCCTTTCCAGGATGTTGCATAATGCAATATCCAACTCCCTTGATTGCTATATCCATCTTATATACAAGATAGTTTGTGTTTTTAAGCATGACAAATTCTGACAGACCTTATACATTTTAGTACAAGATGACTCTGGAGCTTATAACTGCCTCTCGTGGGGCACTATATCCAATGTTTTATAGTATTCTTCGCATGCTTTGCCTGTAATTTTTTTTTCTATCTAGCTACAGCACTTCTGGGACACTATCATTAATGTTGGCATTGTTGAATTTTAAATTTCTGGTATTTCTTCCTTTTTTGGGCCACTGAGTTTGTGTGTAGGTGGAGCAACATACCCTTCATCAGTTACACGGGAAAAATGGTGACACTCAGCTTTGCCTGTTATTACAAATTGATGTAACTCAGAATTGGCTCCAAAAGCCTGAGTTTTAAAAAAAGCACCAATAAGTCATGCAATTTGACATCAGAACCACCACATCATCACAGGAAGCAAAAAGAATCAAGCCCTTTATACAAGCTAACCAACAGTACGGCATTTGTTAAACTGTGTGTCATGTAGTCTTTCTAAGGCTAGGTAGGAAAAAAAGAGATTCTGTTGCAAGGTACCACACATGTATTCAGTATCAAATAAGCTTTTGGGTTTGTCAAGGTAGAAATTTTCATCTTTAGTAAGTATGAAAAAGGCAGTTAGATGGCAAAGAAATAACTGAAGAACAGCAGGAGGATTCCTCCCAATAGGTCTAGATTCAGAGCTACAGTCACTGGCACCCAAGTGTTACATTGAGTCCTATCTTACCCAAACACTTCTAAGTTACTAGGTAGACAGATGACTTGTATTACTGTTATGCCACTTCGTATCCTTCCTTCTGTTCTCCTTCCCTTTCCCTTGTGCCGCTCCATTATACTTTTTTAAATCTCCCCTCCCCGCCCCGCACTTGTATCTCAATTTTCTGTAGACCATTTGTGATTTGGTCCCTACTATGTGCCTACTCTCTTGTACCCATATCTCTTGAGGGAATTTTCCCATGAAGAAGTGGTTGTAACAAGGTAACTCAACCATAAGGGTTGGACTGCCGGGGTAGCCAATCCTGCTCAGAATGAGAGACACTGGGGAGAGATCAGGGTGATTGCCCTATAGACAGCAGCAGGAGGCTACAATGAAGAGGGGAGAAACTTGGGAAAATGGTAGAGAGATTGTGGGAAAGGCTCCTGCAGGAAAGACCTTGAGGCCAATTGAATTGTGACAGACCCTGACTGAGAGAGGGGTTTGGGCCTGGAAACCAGAACCAGAGTGCTGAGAGGCTGAGCTTTGGCCAGGTAAAGTCTGGGAGTACTGGGCCTCCAGCTCCTACTACAGACCCTGATTGGGAGATGGGTTTGGGGGCCTGGAAGCCAAAGGCTGAGTTCTATCCAGGTTAAGCCTAACAGACTTAGAATTGCTCTAGGAAAAAGGGCTGGGGACTCCCTACCTGAAGGGAGAGCATGAATGAACTTCAGGAGGGACAGTTTGCAAGGACTCTATAAATGAGACCCCAGAAGGGGAATGTTTTAATTACTGGTAGGCGGAGTTGAAGGGGCCCTGAAGAAGGGAGAAATTGGTAGCAGGACATTCCAGAGTGTTCTCTGGCCACTAGAGGGTGGTCATGAGGTGGCTGGCCCTATTACAATGGCCACAATCAATTCTCAAGATCTGAATGCTACTGTATTTTATAGGATTTCAGTAAAATACGATATTTTTAAAAGATACAAATGAAGACAAAAAATTAGTTATAAAAATATCTGAAGCATATATGCAGCCCTAATAATGAACCTAATCAGAAACATCAGGCCAGATCTTATATACCTTTTCTCGCCCTACTGAAGTCAGCAAGAAACTACTCAAGATGAATAGAAGTATCATAAGGAGGAGGGAGAAAACTTGTTCACCTTAGCCTCTAAGGATAGAACAAGAAGCAATGGGCTTAAACTGCAGCAA